GGTCTGAGTTCCCATCTTGACTTCCTTTGGTGTTGAACAGCAATATGGAAGTGTAAGCCGTATAAGACTTTTCCCCACACCCTAGCTGCTTTTTTGGTTACAGTGTTTCACTGCAGCAATAGAAACCCTAACTAAGACAACTTTCTTCTGCATATAATAATTTAGTTCTCCAAATAGATCTGAGTCAGTCACATGGTGACATCAAAACAAAAACAAGTTTATTTGGGCTAAGGAATATTTTCAGAAATTTGTATGTGAAAAGGACACATAACACATGGAGTGCTCAGAAATACTCTAACGCTAAAACAACACCATCTGAAATCACATCAGTTTTATCTATTTTAATCTCCAAGACTGACTTGTAATGGGGGGATAAATGAAGGAAGATGAGAAATGAATTAATAAACCTTTAAGCCTTTTCACGCCATAGAGGCCCCCCCGGGTTCTCTTACAGACATCTCTAATCTTCACAGCAGCACTATGAATATAGTATTAATATTTCTTTTTTACAGAGAAAGACCCAAGCTCAGAGAGGCTATATAATATTCCCAGGACCACACAGCTAGTAAATGGCAGAGACAAGATCCAAACCCTTATTTGTAGGATCCTTTTTTTTTTTTTTGCCACATTCAGAGAGCTCTATACATTACACAAACTATATTATTATCACAAAGAATACAATGCAACCTGGTATTGACTGAAACCTTGTCAAAGTGAGGTGAGACCAGACCTGGAAGTACATACATATAATCTCAACTTCTCGGAAGGCAGGCTAGCCTGGGGAGCCACAATGGTTTCAATTAGAAATGTCCCCTATAGTCTCAGACATTTAAACACTTAGTTTCCAATTGATTGAGAGATTTAGTACACATAGCCCTGTTGGAAGAGGTATGTCATTGAAGGTAGGGCTTTGAGAATTTAAAGACTTATGTCATTTCATATTTTCTCTCTTAGATTTTATGCTTGCAGCTCAAGATATGAGGCCTCAGCTTCCTGCCCCTGACTCCATGTCTGTTGCTCACCATGGACTCTAAACCTCTGGAAGAGTAGTACACCAAATAACCTTTTCTTTGTAAGTTGCTTTGATGACAGTGTTTTACCACAACAATAGAAAGTAACTAATACTGAAGTTGATAACAGAGAGTGTGTTATTGCTTCCTATGTGGTTTTTAGGAGGACTGTAGAAGGCCTTCTGTGCTGGCTAATTTTGTCATCTTGACACAAGGTAAAGTCATTTGGGAAGAGAAAATCTTAACTGAGAAAATGCCCCTACCAGATTAGCTTGTGTGCAATTTCTTGATGGATAACTGATATGGGAGGGTTCAGCTCACTGTAGGTAGTGCCACCCTGGGATGGTGGTCTTGGGTGCTATAAGAAAGCAGACTGAGGGCTGTAGAGATAGCTCAGTGGTTAAGAGCACTGACTGCTCTTCCAGAGGTCCTGAGTTTGATTCGCAGCAACCACATGGTAGCTCACAACCATCTGTAATGAGATCTGATGCCCTCTTCTGGTGTGTCTGAAGACAGCGACAGTGTACTCACATACATGAAATAAATAAATAAATCAGAAAGAAAGAAAGAAAGAAAGAAAGAAAGAAAGAAAGAAAGAAAGAAAGAAAGAAAGGT